ACACAGGAATGGCAGGACTGGGAGCGAGAGCGGCAGAGAGCAGATACTTCCTTTTCAAATTGTGATGTTTGAAAGAGAGAATAAGACAATTATATAGGGAGGTGAAATGAAATAGGAGCTCTTGCGGCCTGGTCACGAGTGCATGCCCAATCCGAACGGAGTCGGAGAGTCCTATGGAAACACAGGGATGGCAAGACTGGCGGCGAGGCGGCAGGAAGCAGACACTCACTCTTGAAGCATAAATGTTGAAAAAGGAGATGAAATCAAGATCGAAAGGCTGAAAAGAAAAAGGGGGAGGTTGGGGCTTGGCAGATTATGATATGATATGAGTCACGTGATCAGATCACAATGTCCAGGTGTACGTCTCGGTGGTAATATCCCGGGTAAGTAAAACACCTGCAATTCGTACAGCGAGATTGCAAACCCAGCACCAACTTCACCGTTTTACCCTCTTTGATTTCTGGCCCCACTGCCAAGGCATTAGCGCAGGTGAAATATCGAGAACGATGTGACTTAGAGAGGTCGGTTTCTCTTGGCTTTACACTAAATAACATTCAAAATTAAATATGCAAAGAATGCTGACGTTCTGATTGCAGATTCACCACATTGTGTATAAAAATAAGTTGTCATGGGTGGGAGTATAGAATCCAGCCTTGAGCAAGGAGCTAGCGAACGGTCTTATCGTGAACATCCATCACCAAGGGACCATTAATTCTCTTAGAAACTAAAGAAAGGCGAGCAGAAAAAAATCTCCGCAGCGTTAGACAACAAGTCGCTCTGGCCACTGATTGGTGAGCTTTGAAGGAGAGTACCCAAATCCTACCCTCGCACAGCAGAGATCCCATGACATGATCCCTTAGTTTGAGACCATGAATTAGACATCCACGGTGCAGGGGTGATAATATACATATCTGTTTGCCATCGCTTTCCCGAAGTCGCCAAATAGGCCTAAAATGAGTCGTGTGTGTCAGGCTCCGACTTAGTACACAACACTCACTTGTCCTCCAAATAGAAAGATTCGCTTTTCTTATGACCTTTGGCTTCTTCAAGTGGGGAGATCTTGCGAATTCTCCAAAACCTGTTGTAACTTAGTACTGGATTTTTTTATCATGATCGATTCACCCACAGCTGGACTTTTTGTAATGCAAGGACATAAATAGTATTAATATAGCAAATCTCCCCAATGATATGGAGGTCATCTGTGTTTTCCAAAGCCTCGTGAAGATAACCTGCTTCCTTGCGATAGTACCCCGGGAGTAAAGTAACTACCGTCTGCTTTACTTCACAACTTCGAGAAGATTTAGCGTCTATGTGATATGTTGTGGATCTCAGGGTACTCACTCAGAGGAGCCTACATAACGCTCCTCCCACCACTCCAAGTGCATTGTGTACGATCGAAGATACGATCGTACAGAAACAATGCAATTTTGTTCTCTTATGCTTGAAAGTTGTGAGATGGCAGCTAAGACTAGCTTTGTTTCAGGCAATGATCTGCGAGTTTCATTGTTCTCTGGGTGAGGGCTCGTCTGGACTTCCTTGTGTCTATAACCTAATATTCCTTCAGTTCTCTGCTTCGGTAAATCGATCCGTCGTACTTACCACACTTCTGTTGTTTGTCACTCGGTTTTGAGAGCCGAAGATCTTTCTCACGGCGGACTCGGGGTCTTGCTCTGCCATTCACATGTCTCGAAATATGTTTGAAAAGCTGGTAGCCATCGTTGAAGAATTTCCTGCAGCCACAATCGTCCAATTTACAGAGCCTCAAGGCGTCAACTCAGCAATGACTGTGGTAATAGCAACAAGGCATCTTACTTACCTTGGATTATTATCAGGCTTGCGTAGCACAGTTGGCGAAAGATTGCCTATATGTGTGTTCAAGATATGTACTTTGACGTTTCCCTTGTAGTGTGAGCTCCAAGCACAATCAGGGCATTGGTATGCATCTTGGAATATATGCTTGAATTTGATATGCTGGATAAGATTTTTGGCGTTGTAATCACGTTTTTTGTTGCAACCCGACCAGGTACATTGAAAATGGTCGAATGAGTTTTGTCTTTATATTTTAATCCAGGTAAACATCATGGACATTAGTACGATAGGTAGACATTTGACTTACTTCATCTGGCGCGATTGAAGATCCTTCGAGCTGCTATTCCCTAGGCTCAAAGCATCGTGCTGAGGGATTATGATCAGCACACTTGAGAAGAGTATCAGTCTTGTAAGCCTACCATGGAATCAAAGTCAGGGACTGCGCCTTCAACATTCCCAAAGGAAGATTTCTGTGCTGGTTAATGGAAGATCATATAACGAGCTCATAGGTTTGGGTAAAAAATGACAATCAACTATCACTGACAGGAATTGCGTTCGATCTCATTGCGGTAGAAGCGTTCACAATGCCTGACATCGTCAAGACAAATGTTGAAGGGCAGTTTTCAGTGCGGTGAATGAATCGCGACCGCCACTTCTATGAGGCAACAAGGCTGGGTGACTTGTATGCTGACAGAAGAGATGTTTTTATAACTTAGGTCTAGCGTGGCAGTAGGTAAGGACCTCGTGATAACTATGGATGTTGAGACTAGACCGCCGCAGACCTCCAGCGACAAATTTCGATTAGGTCTGTTCCTGCAAGTCTAGCGACAGGTCTTTAGACGTGCTTTCTGGAGTTATCATGCAGATGATTGCCAATGTTTGAGCGCGTAAGCAGTACGGTAAAGTAAGCTAGTGTATGGACTTAGTGCTAATGCCACGCTTCTTTACTTTCAGGGTACTGCATAACAGCCTAACGACTATAGGACTGAACTGTCTGCCAGCATTCACTAGTGCAAAACTAAACAGATAAAACTAATTCAGCTGAAAATTAATGGTGGCGCTAGGACTGCGTTTGGATAGCAGAAGCTCATCTTAAAACTCCCCTCCTGTCACATAATATGCACTATTCAGTTGATATCAGGCCGCTGTCCGAAGAAACCGTTTGATCGTGCGGAAGATGTATCAGCATCGAAGGTGAGTATTCACACAAGGTGTATATTAACATAAGATTGAGATGATGATCACAATGACTTACGCGGCCTAGCTCAAGGTGCGCACATTCTCCAAGCAAGTAGGGGTACCGCTCTATACAGCTCCAATTTCCGCATGGAGCGCCAGCCGATAACCAAATCAACGTCAAGGCCCATCACAACATTGAATTCCGTGGTATACACTTGTCCACTTCTTTTGAATGCCCATCGCAACGATGTACTTGCCAATGGTGTATAGAATAGAGGAGCGTGAATTTTCCTGCTAGACATGCAACGCGACTGATATCCCACAATCTCATTGAATGCATCCATAGAGATTATATCAGACATAGAACCGAAACACAGTAGCATTCGCGATCTCTTTGTATTCCACATGTTCGTATTTGGACATTGAGTGATAATATTGCACCCGAAGTCAGAAAGCCTCAAGCCATCACAATATTCTGGTGGCCGGTTCTGAGATTCGAATTCAATCGCACGAGCCACGAAATATGCAATCAATTGCTCATTGATTGTCCCGGACACTGAGCTGGGCATTTCATTTGATTGGGTACCGAGAGCAATCTCTTCGACATTCGTAAGCGCAGGCAGGGTCGCACCGTTCTTCAGCTCCATACGGCGCGGATAGTAGAATCCGACAACCGATCCATGGAAGTTCAAGTAGGAAGACACGGCTTTGGATGAGGCTGAAGGTGGATAGAAATCCTAAAGATGTCAGCTTATTCATGGACAGCAGTTAATGCGTTCCACGTCCAGTACCGGGTCGAGGATGACTGTCTCTTTCTCTTCATCTTCCCCTTCATCTTTCTCTGTAGAGCTCGAGTCACAGAATTTGACCCTCTTACGACGAAGAGTGTCCTCATATTAGTTCTCATCCTGGTACAAGGAGTCACTGATTTCGCTGCCTTGTTCAGGAGTTTCTGAAAATTTAACCTGTCAATCATGTAATTGAGTGCAGTCAGACGATACTAACCAGATCCAGTCTCACTCTTAGAAGTTGTGTGAACGTATTCACTCATGATGAGACTCCTTGTCAAAGTATGATGAACTTGTCAATAACCGCAAGATAAAGAATAAAACTAGAGGGAGGGCCTTATATAATAATTAGTGCGGATGAATGACCAGAAAGGGGAAGGGAGACACTTCCACACAGATTCGACTACAGATAACTAGCTCATCAGGATGACTCCGGGATATGGCGCTTACGTCAATGTTCTTATCTATGTAGAGCAGTACTCCATCGATCACGAATCGCTACAACAAGCGTCAAATCGAATAATCATTTTGACCCAAAAAAAGGCATCAATGATTGAGATATTCTAGAACCAATAGACCATTCGACGTTACATGCGGGGAGTGATTGCTCTATCTCCACACCTTGTATTACCAGTCAGCGACGTCTTCTAATGAAGGTGTTCCCAGCGAACAGCATTCTTTAAATTTCTTTCAATCTTGATGTATGCTTGCTTTTCGAGGAAACAACAAGCGGAAGCACTGGTACACGGTGCTCTTTGGACTTGATAGTCTCTATGATAAAGAAATGGAACTTAAGAGCAATGGTACACCGACATCCATCTCATCACTCTCAAAACTGATCCCCAAAGGTCTTGGTGTTCAACATCGTCGCGTGGATGGTGGTGGTGGTGGTGCACCGGGTTTCTTGACACCTGTAGTATCGTAGGCTCCTCGCCGGCAGGGTAATAGGAATGAATCGAACATTTCTTCCTTTATCAAAAGCAACCTTGTCAATCGCCTGCATTCTCTCTATGGTAATAGATGTGAAGAACTCACTGTTTATGATATGCGGATGTCGGTCACAATGTAAGCGAACAGGACTGGAAGATATGGAAGAATATAGAATGGTTCGGGTATGCATTTATGGAAATGGGCACGCCATGAAGAGCACTGCGACCTCGTTGAAACTTCCTAGAAACAGATCACACTACCCCTTATTCAGAGAAAGGGGACATACACCTGGGATCCGCGTAGCGACTGCCATGGTACCATTTCAAGACTGGGATCCTCTAGATTAGTCAGGCGGAAACCCGCTGCGAACGAAATGGCTGGATAAGCCCTGACTGAGGACGACTGGCCCGTTCATCTGATTTCTCTCGTCCCTTTCCGATCGCTTATGGATTCGTAATATCCATTCGCCTATAGTTGCGATCCTCGCAGTCGTTCTCCCATCAATACTTCTTATGGGTAATCCCCAAATTGTAGCTTGGCTCAAGTGGCCAGACCCCTTCTGGACTTTGCTTCACCTTTCAGGTCGGTCTAAATTAGGTTCGCTACCACATTTTAGGATCATAGCGTAGAGTTGACTCCCACATAAAGCGCTAAGTAAAAATTGATACTAATGTGCATCGGGATACAGACATGAACTTTTCTGGATGCTGGGAAGCTAAGCCGGAATTACCTAGGTTACACAGCGCAGTCTGACGTATGTACGTGGGATCCCTGGTGAAGTAACTTTCACTGTAATTATAGCTTGAAACCATCAGCGTAGGATAATGATTTAGGCCAGGATATGCTTTTCTAGGACTGGGTTCAGTGAATGTTTCCCCTCCGCCGGCCAAAATAGATCGTAATACGTAAGTTTGTTGGTTGCTGCGCGAGGGCCACGAGTCAGATCGGGTTGGATTGACTTCCTAGGCAACTTGAAGTCCAATCAATGACCATTTAGATCAGTTTAGATTGGTGGGATGTGTCAAATACAGGAACCTGACCACTTTTATCCTGAAATTCTGGCCCAGGTAATGGAGTACATGCTCGTCGAAAATCGCGAATCTCCTATTGTACAGATGCTGAGCCATGTTCCCAAATATTCCCAAATGGCTCGCGCAATCAATTTCTGGATTAGCCCGTGCGAAGTCAAGTTCACGCCAGCGTCGCTCATAGCCGTAACGACGGAGACCCGGACGCACTATTATTGCAACTAGATCCTTTGCATCTCTCTTGAGGCGAGACTGAGTCTGGGTCCCAGTTACTGCTTTATTTGAACGTCGATGGCGCAATGCTCACATTTTAGCCCTGTTGCCTCACGCCTATGATTACAAGTCCTAAAGTCCCCAAGGCATATCAATAATTGACCACATGCTGAGTGCTTGGGAAAGGAAACTGTGTGGCGCGGCTGGGACTTTGGTCCCTTAACACAAATTCACAGTGTAGATTATACGTTTACACTATGATTTGAACAAACCCTCAAGATACCAACTAATAATCCATAGACTGGATTTTTCGCAACATGTTTGAAGCTAGACTATCCAAAAAGGTCAATCATCAATCCTTCGGCTCAATGACATTACAAAATGGAAGCAGGATTCGAAACTTGTCTACACAGCCTCTTATTTTGTACAGGGGAGAAATGCTATATTTTCCTTGGTTGATTCAGAGGAGTCGAGACTACTTCATCACCTGAGCCAAAGATATTAGTCTTTAGTTTATGCAGCTAACGCCATGGTGGCTCTTGACGTTCGTCCATCGCGCGTTTGGTTAGAGGACTTTCATGCCTGGTAGGTCAAATTAAGTCATGGTTCTAAGTCCGTTGGCATGGCTATACACATTAAAGTGCTATGATAGGCTGAAGCGATTATTCGCTAGCCGCCTTGAGTTCCAATTTTAAGCACGCTGTACTACAGCATTAATCGTAGGAAGCCTAGACAAGATGAAACGGAGCAACTGTGGCTGCTCTCTACCCTTCAATTTGCTGACTCAATACATGGCAAGATTGCTTTGTGTTTGGCGAATGCTGCATCTTTTGGTCCTTATCTCTAGGGCCCAATTCAGTCTGCCTGTTACCTCATGCTTTTTGAGTAGATGGTGATGAAGAGAATAGATTTTTTTTGCGATAGAAATAATGCTCTCCTGATTGACATCTTCTGTCTACCCATCTGACACCCTCGCCATTTCTTTGCTATGCAAAAGCTAATCTCAAGTCGAGACTGGGACGCTAAGTTGTGATTAGGTACATGGTAATTCGATGGAATCCTCAAGCAGCCTTTTGCTATCCCATTTGCAGATCACCGTCGGAGCTCGGCCACGAACAAGCAGTGTTCTCCTATCAGCTTTTCTGACAATAAAAATTTCCTGTTCATGATGACAACTAGGTCATCACCTGCATAATCAATGAGCACAGTTGAATGGCAAGCCGGCTGTAAACAAACCTTCGCCACGAGCGTCCTGAACCTGTACCACCGGTCTAAGTGCTATATTAATGAAAGTCCAACCAAGAATGTGATTAAATACTTACCTGGTTCGAAATTGTCCAGCCAATCGCACAATTTCTTTGCGACTACCTTCTTCTCTTTGTCGCTGAACCGACACAAAGAGTGCCCATAGTAATCCCAAACTTCTGCCTCGTAAAAATCGGCGCCATCGCCTCTGTCATTGCTGAAATCAATTTCCAGATTATAAGTCGCAACCGTCTTGTTCGCTGTTTCCGTGAGCTCAAATTGAACGGGGGTGCAAGACATGATGGAAAATTGTCGGTGGTAGATGAAAACTAAGGATTTGGATACCTTCTTATAAGCCAACCGACAAGTCGGTGAGCGATGGACATCAAACTCGGGCAGCTGTTAAACATACCAAGTCTAGCCGTAAGTGGCTGAGCAGCGAGGCAAGATCCTCATCCTCTTCCCTACTCCCATCACAACGCATTAGCGGTCGAAGGCGGACCTGGTATAACAGGTTTCTTGGCAGGCGCAAAAATCCTCCAAGCGAACGCTTATCGGATGTAAATGACGGTAACACATACGACTGACGGCTGCCGGTACGTAACAGCCAATACCACGTACAGTCCCTTACTCTCACCTTTCACGTAGTCTGAGACGGTGATACTCGGAACGGATTGACAGGTAGTTTACAGTATCGGTTTTGAGAGTGATGTCTGTAAAGTACGAGGTATCCCGTACATGCCCTATCAACTAGCTTGTTTTCTGCTCAATGTCGATTTATGTATATTGACTTTCAAGTTCAATATCTGCGCACCGGCGTTGATGTGCAGATTCTAGCTAGATGTGACACCTAATACCGGCTTAACAGCCAGCAGAGGCCCACTAAGATAAGCATCCACCGCCTAAGTATTCTACATACAAACTTGACAGGCCAATTTGAGGATGTCAAGATAGCTGGTGTTTCCATTAGTCGTCCGGACATTACCGAATGACAAGGAACTTTGCATGATATACCACGCAAGCCGTTCTCTTTGAAATCCCTCGGCCACCAACTATTCCATAATTTCAGATTTTCGAGCAACCGGATCTAAACGGCAAGTTGTTGCTCAGATTGCTACATCCTTGAGTACATTTTGAACGCTGGTCAATCTGTGTTCCTGGCCCTTGATAAGCACGAACGCTCATTTTTTTCCTGCGCTGTCAGACCAAGCACTGCCTGAAAAGACAATCCAATTGCTTTCTATACTCCTTTTCAATTCGTTCCACTGAATATTCCCCTAGTCAGCAAAGGAATGACTACATTCGTAGACGCAAACTGCACATACCTTCATCAATTCTGGCTAGGAAACAGTCCACAATACTCTCCTCTTGGATTCCCATTTCGTAATCAACCAATCCAAAAGCTTCCAGTATATTGCATAGTTTAATCAAATGTTTGCACAAGCGAAGCAGTAGTTGTTTATCGGGGACGTCTTGGAAGGCAAACCAGCACTCATTAAGGGCATCCCAGAAATCCAACTTTCCCAAGCCATCAGGTGCAGCGCTTTCAGCATATTCTCGTTGTCGGGAGGAATCAAGATCACGGTAGTATGAGTCTTGGATTGTTCGGAGGCTCGAGTCATTCATGATTTTGATTAGAAGATCCGCGGCATCGTAATACTCCCCAACTTCGATGAGCCGATGAACCTGCTCACAAGCTTGACGTGTCCAATAGTAGAGATGCTCTGGAGTGCATTTCGCGGTGTCCAATTCATGACCTTGAGTCTTCTACTGCAGTTAGACTGGAGTCCCGCTATCACAACAAGTCTTCGCAAATGTAGACGCACCAGTCTATTCATCCTGTTCTGACGATAATTCCTGAGTCGTGCTGGTATAATATCCTCACAGAATCATTTGATAGAAGATGAAAGTGTTCTGATTAACACATTGACATGTCTCGGTGGAAGGAAAGCGCGCCCGTATTATTGCCCGCTTGAGGAGGGGAAACGATTATTGCCGCTGGCCAGACAGCAATATTCTAACTATCGAATAGGCATGAACGAACAAAGCGCGATGGTCACAGTCACGAACGGAGACCAATCCCAATCGAGATCTAATTCTGACACGAGTCACTGCCATGGATGTGGAACTCCTTCTTTTTCCAGTTTTTGAATAGTGTGCTTCGCTTGCCGGTGACAGGCTGACCAGGTTGGCAATAAAACCTTTCAATACTGATACACTTCTTCTGTGTAGCCTGGCTGTAGCCAATTGAGATCAAATAGCGACCAAGGAACCCGTGGAGGGCAGCCGGTTATCTAGATCTACGGCAGCGCTTTTTCATTCTCTTGTACCTCAAAATGCCTGGTCACATATTGGTCTGCCGATATGGATAGTGAAGATAATTATCGTGAGAATACCTCAGAAGCGGATTTCATGCTGCCATTCTTAATGCTTCGTTCAGGTCAATAGTTTTATCCGAAGATACAGAGACTCGGAATTGGCAGTTTTCAGGGGGTGATTCAAGCCATTCATTCCATCTTTCCAGTGCCCGTCTCCCTGCATCCGACTGTTCAAATGCGTCCTTCTTCAACCATTCAGAATCGACCCAAGATCTGATAGACTTGCCTTCCTCCTCTATCAGGACTCGTCGAAGACAGTAGAGCGACTCTTCTTGAGAAGTGTCTTGTTCAACAATCTCCATCATGACGGCATCAGAGTTGTAGTGAAAACCAATATTTCCCGTAACATGCCCCGTGTGCTCACTTTGCTGAGTGGGGATAGCGAAGACAGCGGAAGATTCGAACCGAGAAGAGAACCTTTCGTGAGGTTATTATCTTGGGCTCTTTGCGTCCTTCTGAATCGAGACTCACCGTGATCCTTCGATATCATTAGCGGTGGAATGAACGATTTCATTTCCAGAGGACAATCTTGTGGCTTCAACAGACGCCGGACTATCGTCTTCGTCCCATTTTACCTTGCAACAGAATGTTGAGGCCATATAGTCCCACAGTTGTGAGCATATCCGTCTGATTTGCATGATCACAGAGTAGGATGAAGTTGGCAATAGCATAAAAGATGAGGGGCAGTGCTTAATTAGGGGGGTCCAAGACGTCTTAAACAAATGCGGGTATGTGCAATTTTACGGTGGCGCTGGGTTTGGGGGACGAGATCAGACTGCGTGCAAGCTACTCTAGCACCCAACCTATGAATCTATTCTAACTTCTAGGCATACCGTACGCACATGGAAATTCTACCCTCGAATTGCACCAAGTTCCCGCTCTTCGGAAATTCATCATCGCTGCAATGGGCTTCTTAGGTGGAGAAGACAATTACTTGTTGCTAAGCTACGACCGTATATTCATACCCCGGCATTAGGCAAATCGAGCAAGAGCATGCATGAAAAAGGATTGAGCTCGCCTAGTCGGACTAATCACAAAATTTTGCGCTTATCACAGGTTCTAGTATGCCAATCACCAACACTTCGCATTGTGTCTCATCTGAGTGGATAAAGTAGTAACATGCGTGACCATCGATCGCATCGCAATTGGGATAGCGCCTTAATATGGAATTGAAGTTGCAAGACGAGCAAATAGCGGTAGCACGCCACCAGATCAATGTCCAAGGCTTGGGTCTTTAAAAGGTCATAGTGGAAAAAGGTAAACTTCGGCCTCGGGTTAAGGTCAAAAGAATTGATTCGTAGCCGAGCGTTACACAAGGGGTACGGATGAGCATCAAACAGATACCATTGAAGGAACCAAGCCAGGAACGCGTGATAGTGGCTTTATAGGTGGCCAAGGATTCTCGGCCTTCCTCTTCCGCCTCGCACCATTGTAGGAGATCAAGACCATGTATCGACACGGTGTCGTAAACGCATTTCGATCTTAATTCCCATCGTCTTTAGTTCTTCAACCATCTGAAATCGAAGTGGACTAACGACCGTGGCTTGCAGGTAGTTGAGGTAGGACTTCTTCACAATGTGTTTGGCGAACTCCAAGCCATAAGCATCGAAAAGAGGATTGCCTCGTTCGAGTTGGTTTTTCACCACACGAAAAGAACAATGCTCTTGTTTGCAGTAACTTATAAGCCACTCCTGCTCTTGAGAGGTGAGCCAGACATCAAACTGGGCTGCTTTGTTGCAAACTGAATATCCCATCTCAACAACCGCAACTCGGCCAGACGAGTAGAGACATTCCCGTTCGAAGATGCGGAATCCTTCAATTTCCCCCTCCAGCGCCAGTCGGAACACAGAAACCTGCCTATTGTATATAGTGCTTGAGTTCGTCTTGTCGGAGCTTTCGGTGTCCGGCTGGTTTAAATTATTTGGCGCCATTGCTGCGGTCTTTCGTGGTTCACTGAGAGTTGTAATGTAACATTACGTGAACGGCTGCACTCTTGGGAAATGATGTGGGCTATGACAGTTATAGAAGATCGGACGATATCGGTCTCAGCATTCACACGAAACCTCACCTCCAACAGCGCTATGCCTGGAAACGCTTGACTCTTTATAGGTTAATTGACTGTGTACTATTCTAATCTTGGCTTCATGGCATGAAAACCTTTACACTTCTTAGCCAGGATATGCTTTATCGTGACTCAATGCTGGGCCAATTGCGGCATCATTAACCCAAGCATGTGTAGGAAGACCTTTCCTAGTCGAGAAGGTTGAGAGACCAAGACCAATCACAATAATAAAACCCCACAGCCACCGCGATTTAACCACGAATGACTTACCCAGCTACGGTATCCTAAAGGCTCCGCGTATGGCGCGTACTGGTCACATTTTGCTGTTCCTTGCTCTCACTGTCCATCTTTGCCGTCACATCCGTCCTCCTCGCACTCCCTCCTAAGCAGTCATACGCCGCGGATTTCAAGCTTGCTAAAAATGGCAACACAACGAAGTCAAGCCAAACGATCTGTCACAGCAAAGGAATTATTGGACGAAACAAGAGAGAGGCTAAATGAACTGCAGACATTTCTCGAGAACGACCAAAGCGCCGTGCTCGCAGGGCTTGACCAAGTCCAAGGAGAAACAGATCCAAGAACTTTCTTTCTATTGACGAAAAAAAGAAATGCAAGTCACAGGCCAACTATAAGCGACTTGTTTAAGCGTCTTCTTGCAATAAGATACCTCGCTTCAGGCTACGAGATGTGGCTACAGGACAGGGGTGAAGTCTTGATGTTAAGAGACTCGTATGAAAAACCGAGAAATCATGGCCTCTGCAAGATTTTCATGCGAGAGCATGGCCTACCTAATACCTCTCAAGTCCGAGGCTGGATTGACAATGGACAAAAAGTCCTTCGAATAGAAAGAGATGTGGGTGTGCCAGGGGCTTCACTATCGCTAGTGCTTGCTTTGCCCAAGTTTCCGCACTTTTACAACCCCGAGATTTCAAAATTGGCCCGCCTGGTTAACACCGGCTTCTTTCCTGATATTAGGGAGTTGGCAGTCTGTGTGTCCGGTGATTATCTGAACTACATTAGGCTATATGAGGGAAAACAGGTTCAGTCACTCTAGCATTGCTTGTATTGGTTATTGGTTCAGATTGGCTAACGTCAAGCACAATCCAAGCGTTCTCGGTGTCTAGAAGTTTCTTCCACATTGAGCAACATTCTCTCGAACCTAGAAGCAAGAGGAACTAGATCTTCATGAACGGCAGCCCCTTAGGATTATCGATATCACCAAACATTGGTCGTTTTGAGAATCCCTGCCAGACCATTCGGACCCCCCCCTTGGGAGATAGTTTGACATACAGAGCTCCGTCCACAAACAAGCACTGCTTCTTATCCACAACTACCTCATCCGCGTCTTTGTCCGGACTATGCTCGAATTCATGATCATTCTGATGATGGGAAGACGTAAAGAGCTTGAATAGGCCGTTGTCCCAGCCAGCAGAATCCCGCAAGGGACGAAAAACTGAGACCGCCTCACGTGATGGATGGGCTCTCATGAACTGCTCGACCTCAGTGTTTTCCTTGAACTCTATGATCGCAGGTCCCTGCTTTTTCAAATCGCGAAAGTCGTGCACGTTCAATCTGTTCTTGATTATCTTGCGAAACCACTTTTTTTTTAGTACGGCGCGCCTAAGCAGAGTTCCGAATACATACTTCGTGGTCTGACATCAAGAAGCTTTTACTCTCATCCCCTCCTTTGCAGAAATCGAACCATGGCGCAGATAACTTCGGGCTCCCTTCAAAGACCCTATCTACCTTGGCAGCATCTTCAGCTGACGGTTCTTGATCACCGACACATAAGTAGCCGAGGTGCTCCATCGTATGGATTGCGAAGTCGAGGGGTATAGACTGTGTCCCCATGGACAAGTCTTGGTGCTGGCTAGTAGAATCCATGCTAGTTTCAGGCATGATGACTAATTAATGCAACAAATAGTTAATCAATTATTTGCCTAAGGAGTTCTGGGAATGGAATATATGTTATAAAGCTCCCAGGCTGAATATCAAATGCGAAATTGCTATAGCAATGGTATCTTCTTCGTTCATGACTCGGTCAATTCGAATCGTATTAAGAGATATCGAATCGAGATAAAGAGAGCCTTCAAGCTACTTAGAGCGCGGGAGAATGGCATCGAGATTCGCACGCAAGACAACTCATCTACAAGTCAAAATGGTGACCTTAAGCTTGGCCGCACTGCTTGTCTGCTATCTTGGCTTTTAACGAGATAATCACGAAGCAGTCCATGAGCTACGACGTCACTCACATCACTTGCTTGAGTATATTAGTGTATCGATGTTTACATGTCGCAACTTCAAATTAGTCTGCATGCAGAACAATGTAATATCATTCCTATTCAACTTAATTAATGCAGAGGCCACTGCAAGAGCCTGCAAGGGAATATATTCTCATTTGATGGACCTGGTCGATCGTGTAACAATTCAATGTCTAGCAAAGGACAGACCTGGACAGATTGGACAGACCTGGACAGACGGGACAGATATGGACAGACGGGACAGATATGGACAGACGGGACAGATATGGACAGACGGGACAAATGGACAGACAGGACAGACGTGGACAGACGGGACAGACGTGGACAGATTGGACAGACTTGGACAGATTGGACAGACCTGGACTTGGACAGACCTGGACTTGGACAGACCTGGACAGATTGGACAGACCGGACAGATTGGACAGACCGGACAGATTGGACAGACCGGACAGATTGGACAGACCGGACAGATTGGACAGACCGGACAGATTGGACAGATCTGGACACAATAGGGTACGACTTTACAGCAATTTAGCTGGAATTCTGATTAGGAAATCATGGTACTAGGCTCGTTATTCACCAGAAATGAAAGGCAACCGTGTGCTCGCGGTAATCGGCGTTCTGCCTCTTTGACTCCAGCCTCCAGGCGACCTTCTCTAACACGTGATATCCTATGCTAGTAATTAGATGTTGTAGCAATCAAAAACTATCCCCAACAACAGTGACATCGTTCAGTGCTGCCATTATCTAGTGGTCATCAGTAGTATGCTGTTGTAAACCTCATCTGGGCCTATCGATCCAACTCAGATACAGTTTATGATCCCATTGACAATGAAAGTAGTCTGACCCACTTTCCAGGCTCGTTGTCTGCCTGATCAACATCTCCCCAACAATCCTATAGACCAGACACTCACGTGATTGTATAAATATACATATGTGTATATAGTACATTGCAGAGATCGCTCATATCAGCAATAGGATTGTATAGAAGCTAGTGAAGCGAATACATGTCACTAGCTAACGGAGGTAATAGGCTGAAGAGACTTGTAGCGCGTGGCAAAAATACTTGGAGCCCGGGGACCTTGAACGCAGGCTGAAGTGCTCCAGCCACATAGTGGCTGAGCGCTGCCGGCAAATAGGCGTTGGTGGGGTTGGGCCGGTTTCACGCCGCCTAACCTTGACTCATTTCTTCTCGTCCATAAATTCATAGATTTCAACGCGATACCAAGCTATCACCTTCATGATGTGAGTTTTGATGCTATCATCAGTCGTCCATATACTGTGAACACCACTAATTGCTCTCTTCCGGATCAAATTAGAGGTGCATCCACACTCCTCGTTGTCGGGTTTGAGGATTTGAAGTAAGAGTCTTGCCAGAGCCAGCGTCGTCAACCAAACATGTCACTTACATCAGAGCCTGTCACGGAAGAATCATTAGTACGTTTGCTTGATCTATCTTTGCTGCATGGAGCCTAACGATCTTTAGCGCGCAGCTTGGAAGAACGAACTCTCTGATCCAGCTATCTTTGAGAAATACCTTACGCACCCCTTCAATAATATCAATGCTGAGAACCTCGAGCGAAATCTTTACTGCTTGAACTGCGAAGAGATTCGCTTTAAAAATGAGAAAGGAACCATATTCATCGCTCGAGGGAGTGGTGAAATGATCCTTCCTGCTAAAATTGGGGTACTCATAAAGGGTGGAAAGTCACGAGTCACAGAAAGGCCATAATTGTCTATGTGCTATTTGCAGGAGTTGTTTCTGCGTACAGTGCATTTGCTAGACTTAGCCCTGCATAAAATCCAACGCGCAATTTGATAACTCCATGTTGAGGTTCCGCCCGCCATATCTGCATGGTGACACAGTCTGTGGTGTCAGATAGGAGTTGATTCTTTTCCCATCGCCTCAATTCACTGTCATTTATACCATCGCAAATATCTGTACCGAAAATCGATGGAATCGATAAGATACTGGCTCCTCGCAAAGAGAAATACGCCAGATCTATTGTTAAATCAATGTTAGTCATGGCAAAGATCTCTAGGTGAACTTCCTCACCAATTTCCGATGATATTTTACCTAGACGACCTGAGTCTAAACTGGTACCCGAATAACACTTCTGGGAGATGTCAAGAGCGCAGGCAGAAAGTATAGATGCTATTCTCTGAGCTGAACCTGGGAACAGAATATCGGCAAGCTCTAAAGCCGAGCCCACTTCAATGCAAATTACCGAATCCTCGTGGCTTTTATAAGAAACCTTTGTCCAGACACTTTCAGTGGTCTCCAAAAGTGAATCCTTGACTTTAGCCTTGGCTTGTATCTGAACAGGAGAGAGCTCGATTGCATTAAAAAGGGCATCACCAAAGGTGCTGTGTACCGCAGCAAGGTTACTTAGCCGTAGCGAATAGTGTTCATTTCCATCGGCATCGGTAAGTGGTGGAGTGAGATGAAAAATGGTACCCAAAAATCGCCTGTATAGTGAATTTCTCTCAAGGCCATGTTTCCGAGCTATGCCTAGAAAGATATTCAAGGCTTCGTTGCAAGAAAAGAGGGTCCTTTGCTTGGTGTGTTTGCTCTGAAATTCTGAGATGTTGAATGATAAGCAGGCTCGCGGTGTGACAATAAGGATGAAGGGAATAAAAATGTGCGGATCGATGTCAAAAATACTTAGGTAGACATCTCGAGCCTTCTTTCGTCGGTGCTGTTGCACGTAGTGGCTGTTTTCACGTCTGTTGCTTCGCTTGGGTTCTTCCTTAGTCGTGCAAATGATAGATAGGCGCTCTTCCAAGAGAGATAGAGAGTTGCCAGGAATTGTTTGAGAGACGTGAATCTCCTCCCATTTTTGGTAAAGGAGTTTGAGAAAGGATGGCTTCATAATTGCGAGCACGAGAGCAGCTGAGCGACATTTGCTAACCACATGGATTCGGTCCAATAAATTTGGTAGGTGAATAAAGGGAAGTGGACAGAAGTGGACAGACCGGACAGACGTGGACAGACGGGACAGACGTGGACAGACGGGACAGATATGGACAGACGGGACAGATATGGACAGAC